TGTGTGTGTGTGTGTGTGTGTGTGTGTGTGTGTGTGTATGCCTGCGCGTGCGAGTTCGCGTGTGTGCGTGTGTATGTGCGTGGGGTGCGAGTGTGTATGTGTTGTATGTGCGTGGGGTGCGTGTGTGTATGTGCGTGTGCACTCTTGCGTGTTTGTATGTGCATGCGTATATATACGTGTGTGTGTCCGTGTGTGTGTCTGCCAAGGCCGTACCAGGTTTACGGCGCAACACGCGTTCGCAGAAACATGTTTTGTTCGTGACTGCTTAGAGAGATCGTCTCCTGATACAATAGCGCCCACGTACCGGACACGTGTCGGGGTTTTACCAATGCTAGCGCAATGCGAGTGTGCCAGATTATGCAATTCCCCGAACTGTGATGAACATGCAGATGCACGATCATGCTATTATCTGTTCGGTTACAGTACTGAGTGTGTATTTTTAGATGTAGAAAGTATAAACGTGTGAGTAACATACAATGCAAATTCCCTGTGGAACGGTTGCCCTGTTCATGGTCATCAATTGTTTCAGTAATATCCTAGAGAGAAAGCAATCGTGTGTTTGTAGGCCAGATGAGTAGATAAGATGCTTGGGTGAGCACTCTACGAGGTAAACATACGAGATCCATTGTCATCTCACTCCAGTTAAAATGGCGAGAGGTTGACGATGACGAGAAAAATACGATGACGTTTTGTAATGCTTAATAATCATGATGTAAATAAATCAGTTTGAATAATATTATTATAAATAATATATATTATAGTATTATTATATATAATTATATTCATATCGAAAACATTTGTTACAGATATTTACGATCATATTAATTTATATCGATTCCATAATTTATAGAACGCTTATTTACAACCTTTCTTTTTCCACGCCAAAATATTTACTACCAGTTAACCTTTTAGTATAATATGCAGATTGAATTACGTACTAAGTATACCGAGTCATCTCATCATTGCTTTTATTATTAATTACCATTCGTTTTAATAAGCTCTTTAAATTACATGGGCAAATTAAAATACATTTTAAGATAATAATAATTATAATAATAACAGGAGTGAATAAAATCAAATTTGTTCTTGTTCACTCCTAATAATAATAATAATAATACGAATAAACATACGTCACAATGCTATTTCATGCGACATCTATCGTTAGAACCAGTTAGTGCAGCTCTGTACTACCTGAGCCCTCGGGAAAAAACCGGATTATTTTAGATCCGTGAACAGCAAGTGAGCGTGGGCGACGATGACTGTAGGCGGCAGCGGAGGAATTCCGACGGCTTTGCGTGCTGCTGCGTAATATAGTCGCGCGTGACGCACGGCTGCAGCCAAGCTCCCTAAGGCTTAAGGTCGTGCGACGGACCTGATGTACTGCCGCAGGCTGGCGGGATAGTCGTCCAGCTGGCGCGGCGGACTGTTCAGCGTGGGCCTGTTTCTACTCACCGAGAACCCGGTGATGGCGGGCGGACCGGAGCGCCCACTGGAGACACTGACGCGCGGCTGCACGGCGATGCCGCCGGGCGCGTGCACGCACGTCGTTCCGGCGGCATCAACGTACACGTCGCGCGTGTTCTCGAGGATCCAATCGTGAACGTTGCTGATGTTCGTGTAGACGGCGTAGCGGAATCGATCGGGGCAGTTACGTATGCCTCGCTTGACGATGCCCGCCAGCACCCAGACTCCGTTCGGCAGCCGCAGCGAAACCGGCCCGCCCGAGTCGCCGTAGCAGACGTTTGAGTAGCTTCCGGTGGGAAATCCGGCGCAGAATTCGTCGTCCTTCAGCGTGATGCGGTCGCGCGCCCGACACTCCTCGGGACTCGCGATCGTCAGCTCCAGCTCCTGCAGCACTTCGGCTTGCTCTAGCGTGCTCGGGTCCGTCACTCCGAAGCCAGATATCGAGCAGCGATTGCCGACTTGTGGCACGCCGAACAGCTTCGTGGGGCGCATGGCGATCGGCCGGATGTAGGGGGTGAACTGGACGGGCGCCGTTAGGCGGACGACAGCGACATCTGACGTCGGATGTAGAACAAAACTGTCGTAGTCTACATCAACCTCGTTGCCTTCGTCCACGGACCTGTTGTACTCTCCGAAGCGACCTGTGTTTATAGTAGAGGAGGAGGGAATTATTTGATGAATCTTTGTACATCGTCGTTAATGTAAAAGTTTGTATTTCGGGAAAGTAGGAAATAGAGGGTCGAGTGTGGGCCATTGAGAGATAGAGAGAAAAAGAAAGAAAGACCGATATATATATATATATATATATAGTCAATAGCACAAGCAGCTGAAAGGATAGATAGATAGGTGGAAAGAGAGCGCGGACTAACCGAGAGACAGAGAGATTTGTATACAGCATGTAGGCACCGGCACTTATGCATAATATATCTTTTAATTATCGCATTTCATCGGCACAGATTTATTCTCCGATGTGCCGATATTATATATATATACATATATCGAGTATATCTGCCCTGGGCAGGTTGCGTATCCTTATAAGGCGCAACGAGTAAATATCGGTAATAACTAATTAAAATACAAGGCAGAGAATTCGTGCGCACCTCGCAGATTCACGAGCTCCTTGTTGCGCACGCAGTGGGCAGCGGTGACGATGTGGCAGCTGTCGACCAGCGAGCCGCCGCAGTTGTACTTGAAGTCGCCGGGAGTCTTGGCGGCGGACAGGAACGCCTGCCACGGGTATTTGTCTCGTGGAGCTACCGTACCTGTGATGACGGGTGCGAAAGCGCCACAGCGACGAGGTTAATTAGTGCGCGTCATCGTACGTCACAGATCGTAGCATGCAGAACAACGCACAGGTGTTTACGTTGCCGACGTGTTTATACATTACGTTTAATAGTGAAAACGGCAGAGAGAGTGGGAGAGGTGGGAAAGGGTGAGTGTTTGAATGAGTGTGTTAGTAAGTGAGTGAGTGAGTGAGTGAGTGAGTGAGTGAGTGAGTGAGTGAGTGAGTGAGTGAGTGAGTGAGTGAGTGAGTGAGTGAGTGAGTGAGTGAGTGAGTGAGTGAGTGAGTGAATGAGTGAGTGAGTGAGCGAGCGAACGAGTGAATGAGTGAGTGAATGAGTGAGTTCATTACAGTGCGTACATACCTCGTACGATATGAAGCCTCGGTCGCCCGCCCCCTCCGCCTGGTGGAGGCGGGATATTTATTCCTACTTGTGCATTCACCACGCACCAGCTAATAGTTAGACAGACGATGCTGCCGAGCAGCAGCAGTCCAACGCGTGCCATCTGCAGAAAGATATACAAAATGAATGAATGAATGAATGAATGAATGAATTAATTAATTATACATATTAGTACCGACGCTGCACTTCGTACCAGTCTTGTCTTTTGTTTTTGCTTGTAGTTTGTAGGTTGATTGATATTAATTGGTACGGGTTCGTTTCTAAAATCGAGTAGGCCTATCGAGGTTATATTATACTGGTATGTATTAGGAGAGAATGAATTCTCGCCCACCTATTCTCGACCTGCTCTTACTATATTTACTCTTACTTCTTACATGTTCTTTACTTTCTCGACAACATATCCGAGATCATCAACCGAGTAGTATAACAATAGTAATCAGGAGCCTATGATACTGTTAAGACAGTATTCTAAAATATTTAAGACTTATAATAATAATATTAATATATATATATATATATATATATATATATCAATTATATATATATTATAAAGTATTATAAAGTATTATAACTGTAATAGTATTGTTGACTCTTAATTATACACACAGTTGCGTTTGTTTATTAAGTAGTTGAGCAGTACAGCAGTATTAGCAGATTATATATATATATGTATATATATGCCAACAGCCCTCACCTCAATCCCCCCCCCCCCGTGTACTAAACACTAACGCGCTGGGGCATGTAATATGGTTTTAATTGAAGTGTTTCCTGAAGAGTCCTTGGGTGAGAGCCGGTTTGCTGTGACCTGCTGCGTAGACGCCAATGTATAGTAATGCATCAACTCTCACCGATCAGGACTGTAGGCCACTGCCGTCTTACATTATTCGCGCTTACTTAGAGTAAAAGGCCAGACTTCATGTGACCTCGCACTACGAAAAGTTTCTATAGCATATATACACACACATATTCCTTCCGATATATTCCTATAGTCGGAATTTTATCGGGTGTCACATGTCAATGCCATATTTTCGCATAAGAATGTAAAATGTCCATGAGAAATTCGACAACTAAGCGTGACGTCATCAATGGTAAACTCAGATTTTTGAAGGTTGTGTTAGTTGTACAATTCACAGTCAATTAAGTGATAGGTCCCTTTTGACTAAGACACGTAAATTAAACTTAAACTTTTGTTAATTTTCTTAGGTCATTATTTATCTTTCTAAATTAATTAATTCTTGACATACAAGTGATTGGTACTCTCAACATAAAATGTGTTCTGAACTTCTACTGGAGGGAAAGATGTTTTACATATAATGAAATGTATCCGGTCCTGTCGAATTCTGTTCTTTCCAACCGAAGATAAATACTAAACGTGAACGCTATTTCGCTCATTCTAATTTTGTTCAGAGCAGATATATTATCGTTTGACAAATACCAGTAAGCCCGGGTAGAAGCCTGTACTCAATACTCTTATAACGGATTATCATGGATTCTAACACAAGTGTATTGGACAAAGTCCATGTAATATGCACTTGTAGGCCAAGTGTATCATGATAACATATAAGATATGTATAATCCACTTCTATAGACCAAAGCAAGTTACAAGCTCACGTATTACCATTACTCATAAGTAGGAGTTAAGGTAAGGCGTGTACTTGTAGCTCTCTAGAGTACTCTACAATTACTCTAGTCTTGCTCTTACCTTTACTATTATTCTCACTCTCACTTTCACTCTTACGCCACTCTTACCATTACTCTTACTCTTACTCTTATGAGTACGCCTACTCTTACCTTTATTCATACTTCACCCTAACTCTACTTTTGTTCTAACTCTTTCACTTCTTTACTCTCGTCTTACTATTTTACATTAGACTTGATTGTACTCCACCGCCCTTATTCGCTTACAGTAATGAGCGCTATACATACCTTTAATGACTCCAAAGCTCACAGAAAATGTTATTCGTAATAGGAATTTGATTCAAGTCACAGATGCTATGCAATATAGACGTCGACAGAACCTTTTCTTCGCAGAACTTGCACGTCAGCTTATCTCGCTACTGCTGCTACGCTGCGTTGTTTACGGTTATATATCGAACGTATTGCGGCAATGACGTCGGAGGCGAGCCTAGTTCCGGAGGCGTGGATCCTGGCGTGCTTACGTACGGACCGGTACCCCAGATCCTATGCTGAAGACACCCGACAGTCACCTGCTAGCACACGGACAGACGGCGAGGCTGCTGCACGATGCCACGCCCACCCCTAGCGCCAACAGGACCACGGAGTTTCACATAGTATTCACCAACGTTGGTGGAGCGTACGTGCGCCTAGGGGCAACATGGCGCCATGTAATACTGTACGACGACTGCCATGCTACCAGTTGCGGACCATATATATATATATATGGTATATATATATATAGAAAGAGAGAGAGAAAGAGAGAGAAAGAGAGAGAGAGAGAGAATCAGGACAAGTTTCTGTCGTAGTTTTCGGCGCAGTGACAAAACTCTGAACGCGTCCCGTCAAGTAGTGTCATAACAAAGTTGGCATAATATAGTTGACAAGATCCCATGTTACAAATTTCACCAACGTCCAAAATGTTGACAAGATTGGCCGACATTAAGACAGTAGCGTTCTCACTCCAGCTCAGTAGCCCTGCAAGGAATTAGCTCAACACTTTTCTGCACAAACAGATCAACTTTTCACTTGAACAGGTTTATATCTTTAGCAGCATCAGTTTTACAATCAGATGAGGTTATCTATGCGCGCTTAGATACGCCAGAAAAATCTACTAATGGTAGTTAGGTGACGTGATGCGAAATACCTGTTTTAAATTAACATTGCAGTGCGCACGTATCATAATGTTATCACTGCACTATTATCATATTATATTCCTTCGTCTGCGCGCATCTGCATCGATCTGTCTGTCCAACACTCTCTCGATCCATCTATAAATCTGCCAATGCTGTGTTTCTTATGAAATAATTAAAATTCCACGAATATGTTATAAAGTTATATATGTTTGTATGTGTTATGTAGGGGGATATAATATATAGAAAACGCTAAATATTGTGGTGTGTACGAATAAACCGAAAGACGAGAAAAACGCCGAGTAAGACTTGGTAGATATATTTACGTTGTACTATAATCAAAGTTATACGTAATACAACTGTTTATGTTGACATGCGTTACTGCTACGCTACTAGCTATTACTCTAAAATCTACATAGTAACACTTTTAGAAGTCACATAATAATATATCGATATAAAATCAACACCTCACGATACTGACGCTACGGATCGAACACTGTGTTTACGTGATCACAATTATGTATAGCCTTCACAAATACGTTATAAATAAAATAGAAAAATCAGGTAAAAATTTACAGCAATGTATGTCGACGACTTCATACAAAACCCAGCGACTGTCTACGACACGGCAAATCGACTTCATAATGCATATACTACTTCAAACTGCGCAGCTTGCACGCTAACGGGAGCACATATAGACTAAAGAGTTTTCCCTGCTCCCGCTCCAGATGCTAATAAGTAGAGTTCTCTTATTGGAAATCATTACTAACCATTGGGCAGCAGCATTTAAAGCATCTACGTGAATTCCCCACGCCCATATATATATATATATATATATATATATATATATATATATATGTGTGTGTATGTGTGTGTGTGTGTGTGTGTGTGCGTGTGCGCGTGCGCGTGCGCGTGCGTGCGTGCGTGCGTGCGTGTGCGTGCACGGGTGCGTGCGTGCGTGCGTATGTATCTTCGGCGCCATTGTCACAAACATTTTAACTGCAACATATAGTAACGTCAATTCAAGCATAGCCGTAAGTTTACGATGTTGTTTTCAGCCGGGTCTTTGACCGCTAAATAACGATAGCTAACGATTGAGTGTTCGTTACCTCCGACGATTTTCAGACGGCCGTCTCCAAAGCCACCCACCGTCCCCGGCGGACGCGGTATGTTGCCCACCGGCGAAATGTTGATCGGAGGTCTCGCGAGAATAGGAGGTGGACCCACGTTGCCCGTGTTGGATGGAGGTCGGAGGTTGTTGTTCGTGGGTGGCAGGATGTTATTGTTCGTTGGCTGAGCGTTGCCTCTTGGAGGAGGAGGAATGTTGCCCCTATTTGGTGAAGGGATGCCTCTGGATGGTGGTAGTGGGATGAATCCAGGCTGCGCAGATAGAAGAGTCCAGCCGGAGCTGAGTAGCAGAAACACGATGACTCTTTTCTCGATCATCTATAAGTATGCATACAGATTCTCGGTGAGCTCATTATCATGTTGTTTGCCTGCATGCAACCTAATGCACGCGCGCACACACACGCGCACACACGCGCGCACACACACGCGCACACACGCGCGCACACACACCCACTCACACACGCACAAACACACACGAATGCACGCCGCAAGCTTACAAGTTTTAATGTAAAGTTAACTTACCTTTACGCAACTTTTTCCTGACGATTCGACAATAATGAATGTGCCTCTTGTCTGATCACATGTACACCGTATATATCACGAGATTGCACATAAATTCAATCTATTCAATCTTAACCCCGAGGTTGATTAAACCTCTTGATTAAATGCGCGATAACGAACCTTACGTTGGATTATAACAAATTGATAATCGTTCTAAATCGCTGATTGTTCTCTGATCGATATCTACGATTGATAGACTGGCACCATCGATTTTCGCTGCGATAATAACGATGCGCATTCAATTGTGCAAATCGAGAACACGTCCCGTCGACGTCAGTCACTGCCTTTCTGAATCCGCCGACTTGCTACGTGCATGCATGCGCGCACTTTCGTTACTTCGCTCTCCTGCTATCTCTCCTCCTCCAAATGCACGCGTGCACACGAGCTCTGACGTACGCAGACTAACGCGTCGTGTAACGTCAGTGTCACTCATTAGCTGGCCCAGTCGAGACGCCGTGATTACGAGCCAAGGATGACCGCTCTAGAACAGGATATGTTCGTCATGTAGGCGGCCGTCGGTGTTTAAAGATAATGGCGACCCTGCTAGTGCAGTGGAGTCCGAGGGCATTCATGCGCTTACGGAACCTCTTGTAGACAAAGATCTTTCTCGATGTTTTTTCTCCCCCTTTCGTTGTGTGCGGGGGGGTATGTGTGTATGTGTGTGTGTGTGTGTGTGTGTGTGTGTGTGTGTGTGTGTGTGTGTGTGTGTGTGT